TTTCAAGATGGGGAGGGAATCTTTTGTTACATTATGACTACCTAACCTTGACATCTCTTACAGCCGAGTAACCCGGCCATCTGTAGATCTGGATTGTGGTTTCACATGTGGGGCTGCAAACATGAGCTCTTCCTCAGGCATCCCTGCCCAGTTAAAGGAAAGAGGATTGTTGACTGAAAGCTGCATCACAGCATCATCCTCTTATATCTGAAGTCATGGTCTGCTTTTCCAGAGACCATGATTTCCAAAGCCTTTCCTCCTGAAAATACTGTTCAGAGCAAATATTTTAACATTAACTCTAAGAAGCCCCCAAAACCCCTTCTCTAAAGCTGTTTGCATGCTCAAGTGAGCAGTAAAGAAGGCAAAAATTTATTTTCTGTAAAGCTGAACTATAAATTACTCCTGAAATAGCTCCTCTGACTCTGTGCAGCTCCAGGCCACTGCATCCATTACTCTGAATGTGGAACTTAACGTCATCAACTCCTTTTTATCAGCCTGTGCTTCAGCAGAGAACAGGAACCTAGCTATAAAATATAATTCTGTTAATACTAGAAGCAATAATGTTAGAGTAAATGACATACTAAAATGAAGTAATAAAAAAAAATCTAGACTTTTTTTATATATTTTTATTTTAAGAACCAAAATACCTCATTGGAAAAATATTTAAACTGTTTGAAGCTTGCCAAATGCATTAAATGGCCAGGAGAAAGAAAACATCACTGGGGCGCTCAGACAAAAATTCTTGGTTTTTGGAACGTGCCCAGTTTTACTTACTCATCTGCTGCCCCCTTTTATTTGGGGCCAGTTAAGATCATTTTGGAAACGGAGCATCGACTCCTGTGTACATCCTGCTCGGAGTTACTTTGCTCACACCCAGCCCATGGAAATGGACTCTGGCTTAATGTTTGCTGGGTCTGCCTGGAAATGGGTAATAATGGATTTCTTGTTTTTCTGCTTCAACAATAAGAGTCAAGGGACAAATTCCTGAGTTGTGCTATTTAAAAAAAAAAAAAAAAATTAAAAAAAAAAAAAAAAA